ACAATATTCAAAAATTATGAGACTAATAGTAACGAGTAATTTACCTATAATGAAATAAAAAAATTAGTAAAAAGAAAAAGTATTATTATACATTGTAAGATTTTATTCAAATAAAAAGAAATGAAAAATATAAATCAAAATGTGAATTTACCTCATAAAATAATTTTAAGCTTAATAATCTACAAAAATAAAAGTAAAAAATTATTAGTAGATAAAATAAAAATAATTGAATGATAAATGAAAATAACAAAAAATAAATAAATAAAAACCTTGAGATGAAAGAATGGAAGAAAATGAAGGAAAAGTAGAAGGATGACAATCAAAGAAGAAGAAGAAAAAGAAGAAGAAGGAGAAGAAGAGGAAGAAAATAAGAACAAAGGGAGAAGGAAACAGGGTGAAACATATGTGGGAAAGGAAGGAGGAGAGGAGAGGTAGAAGAAGATGAGAAGATATTTGTTGATTCTATTTCCGTGTCCATATATATAAATAAAATATATTTGACAAAAATTCTATTGATTATCTTTTAGAATGGTTGTCGATTATGTTTTAAATTAGATTAACTGCAAAATTTAACTTTTTTGGGTGGGGATGGCAATAGGGGGATAATTGCCAGTCATAGACAACCACTAGTATAATCGACAGCCAATTCCGTCGATTATAAGGGTATAATCGATAACTACTATAGCTGTCGATTATGTCAAAATTTTATAAATATATATATATACACATTAATATTTAACTTTCCGCTAGTAATATGTATAAATATTACATGTTTCATAAATCATAAATTTAGTAATAAAAGTTTAATACTATCCAATGTGAAATTATTTTTAACTAATATTATACATATTCTACATTGATTAAATTATCAATTCTAACACTACATATTTATACTTAATTTAGTCATTATATATACACAATTTATATAATATTAATTAAAAATAATCTCACATTTAATAGTGTTAAATTTTCATTATCAAATTTATAATTTATGAGATATATACTATTTATAAATACTATTAGTGAAAGGTTAAATATTAATATATATCTACAAAATTTTGACATAATCGATAGCTTTTTGATTGTCGATTATATTTTTGTCAGTTAAATGTTGTTTTTTAGTAATAAAAGGTCAAAGATATCTTTTCTCATAAACTCAAAAAGAATGAATTCTATCTTAACTCACACATTATTCTTGTGCAATTCATGATACACCCAAAAACTATATTACTCATAACCCCTCATCAAAGTTATTTTTTATAACTTCAAAGTACATGAGTTCTATAGAACAATGACAATCTCAAATCAAATAATCACTTACATTCACGTCATAACTGAAAAGCTACTAATTATATGTGCATATAGAGTTCTTATGGCAGGTCAGTTCAGTGCACTCACTTGTTTTGAGTCACCCACATATGATATATGGTTTCATGAGAAAAGTCTTCTCCCTAGCAAAGCATCACACATGATAACTTTTACATCATTGATATCTCATCTCAATGACATATATACCTAATAACAATTTAAAATTGTTACTATTTTATTATATAATTCTCAGTAATAATGATAACTATTATTATTGTTTTTATGTAGCAAATATCCTAAGAACTTTATCGATATTAATATACACAAAAGAATAAAAATTAATATATAATAAATGAATGTCTTGTGTGCATGTGTGTATATATATATATATATGAGAAACATGTTTTGCAGGTTGTCTTCCAAATTTTTTTTATTTTTGCAGGACATGTCGAAAAGCTCATCTTCTAATTAATATTTTTTCAAAACCAACTGTTAGATTGAAACTTCTATCCATATAAATTATGCATGTCAAATTTCAAATTATTCTAGTAGACCTAATCACTTTGTTGATTACATGAAATTAGATACCGTTAAATATATGTCAATAAATAGAGTTTTTCTTATTAAAGGATTATAAGTATTAAATCAATATAAAAATTGACATGAATAATTTATATGAATAAAACTTTTAATACAATTATCAGTTTTTGAAAATATTAATTAGAAAATGAGTTTTTAAACAAGTTCTCCAAAAAAATTTTGGAAGAATGATCTACCCTATATTATCTTATTTACATACAAATTTTACACACCAAAATTACACAAAATCTCGACTATTCATCTCTCTACTTTCAATAATTAAGATTTATTCACTCTTTATTATATTTATTAAATGTAATTATCTTTTTTTATCTAAAAAGTTATAGGGATTCACTTACATACAAGTTTTACACTCCATACTTATGTAAAATCTCAATCATTTATCTCTTCACTTTTAATTATTGAGATTTATTTACATTTATTAAAGATAATTATCTTTTTCATATAAAAAGTTGTAATAAATCTTAACCATTGATTGAAAGTGAAAAGATTAATAGTTAAGATCTTATGTAAGTGGTGTATAAGACTTGTGTATGAGTGAATCTCTTCTCTAAATACTTATTGAGTCTTAAAAATTACCTCAAAATTGCATCATTTTAATAAAATATTATAAGAAAATATCAAAAACAATTTAATTCATGTTGTAAAAAAAAAGGATATATTAGCTTTTCTCAATGAAAATTTATTAAAATGACATAATTTTATATTAATTTTCTTTCTAATTTTAAGAGGTAAGATGGATGGGTATTATTCCCATATATATTACTAGTACAAATGACATTGGCTCAAGGGCACATTTTAGCAACTTGTTACCCAATTAGTTGAAAATGAACCTCTCTCATCTCCTCCTAAATTTGATTCCTAGATTATCATCATAATATGTTATTAAATAAATAAATATATAATATTATAAATAGATCCTTAAACTAAAAGAAAAATCAATCCTATCATAACATATTATGATTGTAAATTTGCAATATCACTTAAAATTGTAATTCTTTCATTTTTAAATTTCTAGTCTTTTGAGTACAAATTTGACTCAACTTTTTAAGAGTCCCTTGACAATTTTCTTGAACCCTTATCTAGGGTCCAATTGGTATGGTAGTTTGAAGGCAACAATTAGCGGTTTGGAGGTAACAATTAACGGTTCGATCCATTAAGAATATATGTTTAGTAAACTTATTTATTTTGAAACTACTACAAACTAAGTATTTGATGAAAGTTTTTATTTAGCAATTTAGAACTAGTGGATATTGGTTAGTGTCCAAACCACTAGCGGACTAGAATTCTTTAATTTTATTGACAAATTTATAATTTTTCATTTTTTTATTTTTTTCCATGGTTTTTAATTAATATTTATCTAATTAGTTTCAATTTTATTTTTTTATCATTAATAATATTAAGTAATTATTAGATATTTTTACATTAATTTATTATAAAAAAATATATATTAAATTAATATATAAAATTACTAATTAAACGAAAAGATTAAAATTTTTTTGTACCTTATTTAAAACTAATATAATTTTTTCTTTATTAAAAATAAAATTTAATGTATGATTATATTTTTATAATTTATTTTATTATTATTATTTTTATAAAATTAAAAATTTTAATAATGAAAAATATAAAAAGAAAAAAATATATACTTAATTGTTTTTAAATATTTCATTATCTATCATTTAACTTCAACTAACAACTACTAACGATTGTATAATCAAATAGTTATATTAATCAAATGCATGGTTTATTATTCGTTACTGCTTTTTACTATATATCACCCACTATCCATCACCCATTACCCATTATCCACAACTGTTATTCACTATTCGCTATCTACTACCCATTATTCTTTAAATTTTAACTGCTATACACCATACCAAACAAACCCTTAATAATTTATGCATTAGGTACACAGTCATTTCTTTTGCCAAGATGTGTTTGGCAAGTTTAAGTTGCATTGAAGGCTGTTCCCCTATTGCATTTCTTCTTACAACACCTTATAAAAGTAAAAGTATTAATTTATGATAATTAAATTAAATTCTAATTAATATTTTTTATAATTCTATAATTATATTAATGTATAAAATTTTTTAAATAATTATTAAACAATAATATCATTTTTTTCATAATAAAATATTAAAAAGACCATGATGTACCAGGTCAACACCTGACAGGACACACCCAATAAAAATAATAAATATATAAATAAGCTAGTTTAGGAATATGATGTGAATATACTTATCTTTCCATCCATTCATCCAAATATTGTTTATTCATGTTTCCAAACAACAACAAAAACACCCAAAATTATTCCACTTTGCTTCTGCATCATCCTTTTCGAAGGATCGTCGTTTCCTTGTCTGTGCACTAGATGGCAGTGGTTGGTGGGTGAGAGGCATAAGCAATTTCCTCTTTATTCCACCAATGAAAAGATAGATTACACATCCTAGCATTTTTTTTTTTTTAATTTTTTATTTTTACTCAGTGGATTAGGAAAAGAAATCATGGGTCTCAATGAAAAAATTGAAGGGTGATTTTAAAATCTTTTTGCGGTGTTTTTGTTCCTTTTGGTGGCCAATCATGGTCTGGTATCGAGTGATACTGTCCTTAATGGTGCATGCAAGGATGTGACTGTAGTGTGGAGGGTCGATGGTGAAGGGAGGGCCACCGTAGAAAATGTACTCAGGGTATTTCTCAGTGCGCTTGGGTTGGGTCTTACATGCATCAATTTAACTGTAGTACACTACATTCAGCATTCTTGAAAGCATTCTTCCAGATCTGAAAATTTTCAATTTTTCAGTATTTTTTTATTAGATCCAATTGTTGCATCTAATGTGACTGTAAATCCTGATCTTCATTCTCATCTTCTTGTTGGGAAATAGAGTTACAGTGTTTTGGATGCAATTTGTTCTAAAATTTGGGTTTTGGTTGAGATTTAGAATATTTTAATTGGTGGTCTTGTGAACAAAATTGAGAAATTATCTAGATTGGAGATGGAGTAATCACCGTAGAAGGAGAAAATTAGTTAGAAAGAAATGTGAAACCCATATTAGAATCTGAGTTTTATGTTGTAGAAGATGTCTTCTTCGACAATAAATCCAAATTTATACCCAATTTGCTTGAGCATCCGGACACTATAGACAGAGAGGCACATGCACACATAAAACATAAGACAACTTCATCTTAAATGCAAATGGATACCCAATTATGCAGTCTCTGTTCTCATCCCTACTTAAATGAATAGGTTCTGAAATAGCCACTTCATTTCCAAACGGTAACAAAAACCAACTGCAAAACAAGGAGCAAAAATATATGAATCCAGGAGTCTACAACATTCATGCAATTAAAGTCCACAAATAATAAAGAATTTAGCGCACTCACTCTCCATTAATAGCTTGCTCTAGTGCATCATCATCATCCAACCATCTCAGAAACTGATCATTTGCCTGAAGAAATTATTTACAGATATTAGGTTCTTAAGCATATCGCAAATTTAGCAAGTTTTAAAACGTGATGCATAGCCATAAATGCAGGATCAATAGCATGAAGACATGATACCTTGTCTGAGAGTTTGCAACATGGAGACCTTCCTTCAAATTTCAAACTGCAAAAGATGAAAGTGGGAGCGATTTGTTTCAATAATATTTACATCTACATTTTGAAATTTTATGCCTTGGAAATCTCATGAGAAGAAGCTAAAGCAGCTTGGATAGGGGGATGACAAGCAGGGGCAATGTTTTTCAATTTAACCCCTTTTTTTAATTTTGAAACTCCATGTTTGAATCTCATGAAAGATAAGGTTGCCAAAAATTCAGCATGCTCAGAAATCAGTATAAATAAATAAACAGAGAAAAAAACAGGAAAACCCTAGAAATTGGGGATTTGCAAATGATACCTCATAAAAGTAACAGAAGAATAATAAGGAAGATCTACAGAGGAAAGAAAGATCCTTGATATGTATTCCTCAAGAACAACTCTAACAATCACAGGTAGAAGACAATGAAATATTCTGGAGAATCCCAAAATGGAGCAACGCAGAACTTAAACCTGACCCAGATGGCAACAAGCAATTAATAAAATGACATTAACAAAACTTATCCTATGTGGCCTAAAAGAATGCTTCCCTTGTTTTTTACATATCAGCCTAGGACTTCAAATGCAAAAGAAAAGCATTAGATGATTGGCATAGATTTCTGACGTGCCAAACCTTGATGCTGGATGAAGGCTTTCTCTAATGAAAGCAATTGGGAAATCAAGACAAGAATTGAAGCATAAGAAAAACAAACATTTACAAGATCTAACCTGCTACCACCTAGGACCCAACTGAGCGTTAATTGCATTGCAAAGTCAACAAGAAACCTGCAACAAACTACTACTGGATGTGGTATCCGAAATTTTGCCAAAAACTGCAAGGCAGGTCAAAAGCCATAGTGATTATGTATTAAGTTTCTTCAGAAACATTGCCTCCATTTCATGTAATCAACAACAGTTCCTACCAACAATGGACCAAATCCTATATCCAAATAAGACTTGTAATTTGAAACCAACATTGCAGCCATTCTGGCCATTGCATGGATAATGGCAACTCGCAGTCTCCTATTCCTTTCATAGCTGTGTAAGAAATGAATTATGTAACAGAGTCAGCCTTTTAGCACCAAAACTAGTTATTACACCACTGATGATTTAGTAATATAGTAACTTGCAATACAAAAGAACCATTGTTAAAGAGTACAAATAAAATGTTTTCTGATCTAACCTAGGTTGTGATGATATTAACTACATCTAAATGATTAACTTTTTGTTAGAGACATTAGGAAATTTGGATAATCAACTACATTAGTGGTTGATTAAGTTAATTAAGTTAATTACCATGTTACATTAGGGTTTCATAATCAGTGGTCACTTAAACCTACATAAAGGCTCCCTTTGTCAAAGTTTAATATTATGACAATATAACAGAATAATAGTAATTCCATATGCATTTCTTCCAGTTTTCTCTTCTAGCTTTTCCATGTTTGATTCTTAACATTTTTCAAGACATCAGAATCAGCATTAGTCCAATCATTTGGTCTTTATTCAAGCATTTTCTTAATATAGTTCTCAAACCATGTTCTTTCACGTGAGTACATAATTTTCACCTTAATTTTATATATCCATTTTTTGTTTGGATTTTTCAGAATGGTAGTAATGTATTACCTCCTTAAAGAAGAGACAATATCAACAGGAGTTCCAGACTCAACACTTTGCCTCCATGCTTTGTCCAGCTCCTCTGCAAGTTGATAACTATCCTACAAAGATTCAATAAATGATCCAGAAAAAGTTTTTAGTTCATTTATCCATGATGTGGATCTTTTCACATAAAATATCTTCACACACTTCTGAGTATTTGAAACAAAATGTGGCACATAGCATTGTTCATTATGATATATATGATTCTACCAACAATTGAATGTCAAAAGTAATTAAAATACTATAACTTTTGAGGGGAAAAATGTCAAAACTTAGAGATCCTGAAAATGCTAAAATTATGGAAGAGGATAAACAGAATAATTTGACGATTAGAGTAATTCAAAGTCTACCTCAATGGCCATACATCCCCCTTGACTCATATTTGGCTGCATGGCATGTACAGAATCCCCGAGCAATGTTACATGCCCTCTTTCCCAAGTGCATGTGGGTGTTAGGTCATATATATCACGACGAAGAATTGCATCTTCATCACAGGCAATTATCAAATCTAATACATAATCACACCAACCTTCAAATATTTTCAGCAACCTTTCCTTTTTACCTGCAAAAAGATGAAGAAGTGAAGACCATTAGAATATACCACACCTGCTTGTTTATGATCAACATAAATCCTCGGGCACATATTCCGTCGGCAGTCTGTTAAGCTTTCTTGAAATGATAGCGGAGCCAGCACATAAAATTTAGAAAAATTAAGAAACAGCTTGGCGTATGACTAAACATTTAAAAACATGAGAATTTATTTTCTTCAAGCTTCTTCAAGTGTGGCACCTTCAAGCAGTATGATAAAGAAAACGTATCATATTAAATCAAGATCATCAGTAGAGTATCTACCATAGGGCCTATCCACACCACCAGGTGGTATTGAATAGTTTATAAATGTTTAAGATCCAACATCAAGAAAGTATGAGAATTTAAATGAGTTTATAAAGGTTTATTCTTTATTAACAAATAGTTAAGTAAAATGAAACCAAGGCAAATTGAGCCTAACCTCTTTATATATAGTCAAAAGATGAGCACTTAAGCAAGCACCTTAGGGCTTGACTACTAGATCATTAATTCTTTATTATTTTTGAATTTTTTATTTTTTTTATTAAATTAAAATTTGGAAAAACATATTTGAAAATCAGACATAAGTATTGGCAGTCAAAAAGTACTTCTATGAAACGATGTCTTTCTGGAGGGATACATCCCTACAACTAGTGACTTTTTAAGCATTATAAACTTCTATGCAAAATCAAAGTTCTACATCTAATTCTAAGAGAGTTTTGTGTTCTATTGTATCTTGGAAGATTTTAAATCCTTAAGGAAAATAAAATCACGCCTCAAAACAATTCTTTTATTCTTCTGCTATTTCATATTTTTTAACAATCTTAAGATGACTTTCTTACTAACAACACCAAAGGTGTCATACATTCTTGATCCAAAACTGCAACCTATCGCAGCACCAAAGGAAATCAATTTTGAAGGAGTGAAGAATGCAAGACTGAAGCGTGAAGAAGATGAACTCAAATGTTGAGGACACATTCTGAATTCTCTCACTGATAGACTTTATGATCTGTATCGCAACATGTCTTCTCCTCAAGAAATCTGGATTGCTTTGGAAAAGAAATATAAGCATGAAAAGAAAGGTACGGACAAGTTGTTTGCACTTAAATATTTTGAGTTTGAAATGAAAGATGATATTTCCATCATGGATCAAGTGCACGAATTATAGGAAAAAGGTTCCAGATTCTGGTATCAAGAATGTTAGAGTTGGAGATAAAGATTCCAAATTCACTTCAAGCGGGGGCAATACTTTCAAAACTTCTTCCATCTTGGAATGATTATAGGAAAAAGGTTCTGCATTTAGATGAAATTCTGACTATGGAACATTTTCAAACACATCTCCAGATTGAGGCAGAATATTGTTCAAGAGATGCAATATTAGCACCCTTGAAAGTTAATTATGTGAGTCAAAATTCTACCAGGCCTTTCCAAAATAAACTCAAGCCTCTTAAGAAAAACAATGCTTTCAAGAAAGTTTCTTTCAAGAAAAGTCAGCTTTGTTACCATTATGGTAAGAAAGGTCACTTCATTAAAGATTGCAAATTCAGGAATAATCAAAGAACTTTGGTTCTGGCACCAGTGAAGAAACAAGCAACAAAGCAAATCTGATTGAGTATGAATTGGTTGTTATGGTTTCTGATATGCAAGTCGGGATGGTGACTGAATTGAACATAGCAAATCCAACCAAGTCTATGGATTGGTGGTTGGATTCTGGTGCAACAGTTCATGTGTGCAATAACAAAGCACAATTCAAGTTTTATGAAGATTTGAAGGAACCAAAAGAAGTGCTTATGGGAAACGATGTCACTGCAAAAGTTCTAGGCAAAGGCACAGTGGAATTAAAGTTTATTTCGAGCCACAAATTGACCTTGGTTAATGTTTTCCATGTGCCTGATATTAGAAAGAACTTGGTGTCTATAAATCTATTATGTAAAAGGGGCTTGAGGGTTGTCTTAAAATCAGACAAGGCCATCATATCAAAAAATGGCAAGTTTGTGGGGAAAGGTTATTCTTGTGATGGAATGTTCAAATTGAGTATTAATGAAATAAATAATGTTTTTGCTTATATTGTTGAGTGTTCTTCTACTTTGTGGCATGTTAGACTAAGACATGTGAATTATGAATCATTAAAATATATGTCTACGCATGGGTATTTAACTTGTCAAAATGATTTTAAAAATAAATGTGAAATTTGTGTGCAAGGAAAGATGACTAGAAAACCTTTTCCAAAAAGAGAAAGAAATACAGAAGTGTTAGAGTTAGTGCATTATGATATTTGTGAATTAAATGGTCATCTTACTAGAGGAGGTAAAAGTTAATTCATAACATTTATTGATGATTGTTCTAGATATACATATGTGTATCTTATGAGAACAAAAGATGAGGCTTTTGACAAGTTTAAGGAACATAAATCTGTTGTGGAAAATCAGAAAGAGAAGAGAATTAAAGCTCTTCATAGTGATAGGGGTGGTGAGTATTTTTCAAATTTGTTTTCACACTTTTGTGAAAAACATGGCATCATACATTAAAGAACAACCCCCTATTCACCCCAATGGAATGGTTTGGCAAAAAGAAAAAATAGAACTTTGGTTGACATGGTTAATTGCATGTTGATAAATTCAAAGTTGCCATTTAATCTTTGGGGAGAGGCACTTCTTACTGCCAATCATGTTACCAATAGAATTCCATCAAAGAAAACTCATGTTTCTCCATATGAGACTTGGAATAATGGTAAAAAGCCAAATTTGAATTATCTCAAAGTGTGGGGGTGTCTTGCCTTTTATAAGGTTCCAGACCCACAAAAAACAAAATTAGGACCTAAAAGCATTAGAAGTGCATTTGTTGGTTATGCAATTAATTCTAAGGCCTATAAGTTACTAGATTTAGAGTCAAATGTTATAGTAGAATCTGTACATGTTGAGTTCTTTGAAGATAATTTTATTAAAGATTCTTCTACTATATTTGATTCTCGAAATTCTTTGAATAATTCAATGTATGAAAATCATAATGGTAGAAGTACAAGTACACTTCATGAGGAGAAAAGAAAAGAGAATGATGGTTCAATTGAACCAAGAAGAAGTACAAGGATTAGGAGATAAAAGTCTCTTGATCTTGATTTTATTTCTTCACAATCTATTGTCTTTCTAGTTGAAGCAACTAGAACTGAAATAATTCGAAAAATACCCATGGTATTAAATGTTGAAGAAGATCCAAAAACATTTCAAGAAGCAATGGCTTCAAGGGATGCAGCTTTTTGGAGAGAAGCTATGAATGATGAGATGGACTCTATTATGTCCAATAATACTTGGATTTTAGTGGATCTTCCATATGGTTCTAAACCAATTGGTTGTAAATGGGTATTTAAACAAAAATACAATACAGATGGAATAATACAAACCTTCAAAGCAAGGTTGGTTGCAAAAGGTTTTACTCAAAAGAAAGGAATAGATTATTTTGACACATATGCTCCTATTGCAAGAATAACATCTATAAGACTTCTCTTTGCATTGGCTTCGATTTATAAGCTGTTTGTGCATCAAATGGATGTTAAAACAACATTCTTGAATGGTGACTTAAGTGAGGAAGTATACATGGAACAACCAGAAGGCTTCATACTTCTTGGAAATGAAAGAAAAGTTTGTAAATTAGTTAAGTCACTATATGGCCTAAAGCAAGCTCCCAAGTAATGGCACTAGAAATTTGATACACATATTTTGGCAAATGGATTCAAGCATAATGATGCAGATAAGTGTATCTATTCAAAGTTCACTAAGGATTATGGAGTTATAGTATATCTCTATGTTGATGACATGTTGATATTTGGTATCAACATGTTGGGAATAAATGAAACCAAAAAGTATTTAATTTCAATATTCAAAATGAAAGATTTAAATGAAGTAGATACTATTTTGGGTATTAAAGTAAAGAGACATGATCATGGCTTTGTACTTAGTCAATCACATTATATAGAGAAGATGCTAAATAAATTCCAACATCTAAATATAAAGGAAGCCCCTACTCCATATGATCCTAGTATGAAGTTGACCTTAAACCTAGGTCATATTGTTGCTCAATTGGAATATGCAAGTGCAATAGGGAGTTTAATGTATGTCATGCATTGTACTAGGCCAGACATAGCCTTTGCAGTATGCAAATTATCAAGATACACAAGTAAACCAAGCCATGAACATTAGAAAGCTATTAGAAGAATTCTTGGTTATCTTAAAAAGACAAAAGAGCTTGGTTTGATTTACTTAGATTATCCAGTGGTTCTAGAAGGATACGCTGATGCAAGTTGGATCACTTGTAAGAGTGATAACAAATCTACTTCGGGTTGGATCTTTACACTTGGAGAAGGTGCAATAAGTTGGGTATCAAAGAAACAAACATGCATCTCACATTCTACAATGAAATTTGAGTTTATTGCTTTGGCGACAGCAAGCAAGGAAGCAAAATGGTTGAGAAATTTATTGCTTGATATAAAGTTGTGGCCACAACCTATGCCAACCATTTCCTTACACTGTGATAGTGAGGCTACAATGTCTAGAGCATATAGCAATATTTATAATGGGAAATCTAGACATATTAGTCTTAGAGATACTTATATTCGAGAGTTGATCATTAGTGGAGTTATAACAATAATCTATGTAAAGTCTGTAGACAATCTAGCTGATCTTCTCACAAAAGCATTACCATGAGATGTGGTGGAAAAGATGTCATTAGGAATGGGGCTTAAATATTTAAACTAGGCATTGGTAATGGGCACCCAACTTTTATTTAGTCATTTTTAAATTTAAAGTTTAATGGGTAAGAACAAGTTATTATATATGCTTGTTTAGCACTTGAAACATATTCCTACTTTAGTCAAGTGTTGTCTATTGCATTTTGGAGGATGAGTGTAAACTCTTAATGGAGTTGATCATTTCTAAGTGTCTATAGTAGCAGGTACATAAAGAACTCCACCTAAATGGTCATAGAAGTGGTGCCACCTCAACAAGAAGATGCTTGACTTCTAGAACATCCTTAATTTTTTATTATCTTTGAATTTTTTATTTTATTTTATTAAATTAAAATTTGGCAAGACATGTCTGAAAATCAGACAAAACTATTGGCAGTCAAAAGGTATCTTTATGAAATGGACAATGATTGGTGCACACCTAGATCCAACACCCGGGTGTGCACCTCCCACATAAAAAAAAAAAAAAAATTGGACCGGGTGATGGGCATTTTTTTTTTTTATATGATGTGTGCACACCCGGGTGTTGGATCCGGGTGTGCACACATCATTTTCCTTATGAAATTGTGTCTTTCTGGAGGGATACATTCCTACAAATAGTGATTTTTCAGGCATTATAAATTCCTATGCAAAGTCAAAGTTTCACATCTAATTTGAGAGAGTTTTGTGTTCTGTTATATCCTGGAGGATTTTAGATCCTTAAGAAAAGTGAGATCACGCCTCAGAACAATTATTTTATCCTTCTGCTATTTCATATTTTCTAACAGGTGGTTCCTTGTGAAAAGCATACCACTACATCTTTCTAGCAACAACATCTGAGAAGACAAAGTATTGCTTGTGTCCCAAAAGTACGCGGAACCTTCAAGAAAATTACCATATAAGATCCATGTAGAACAAAGAACAAAGAATTCAAAGTAGATAATCGATGGCATGAAAAAGTTGTCCAAAGTGGAAGAGTTAATATGTAACAAATAGAAAAAGGAAACATACCCAACAGACTCAATATCAGCTGGCACAAAATCTGCAATACCAGTATAACAAGTGTACAGGTTCTTGTTGCCCAAATAAGCTCTCCCTCACCTGAAAAAGAATGTAAAGAAACCACAACAAGATTTTATTCAAATATGAAAGCAATCAGACTTGTTATTGATGGAAACATCAAGTTCATTTAGACAGTGATTTAGTTGAAAAGGTGTCAGGAGAATGACAGTGAATCTCACCCAACTTTAAAATCTCGGTCTAGATACAAATTAAAAAAAAAAAAATGTAGGGCTAGTTTAATTTTCATTTTTTCTATAAAGACAAGGTATATGGCCCGATTGTAGGTCTACAAACAGTTCCATTTGATTTGAATTTCCTTTATTAAACTGCTTATCATACTATCATTGCACCATAGCAGAAGGCTCATAGTGTTTGTTAACATCAATCCAGGGTCTCAACATACAGAGAGAGTGCGCCAGCATATGCATAACCAAGATAGAGTGGTACCTTGGATCGTACTCCATCAGCGCCAACTAAGAGATCACCTTCATATTGTTTTCCATTTTCAAGCATCACAGTAACCTGAATTTTTTAATAAAATGGAACAAATGTAAACTAAAAGTACACAAAACAAAAACATAATCCAGGAAATTAACCACTTTGCTAGGTGCATAAAGAAACAGATTATCATGTACCCAAAATAGAAAGAAACAGATTCATACTAGATTTAATCTATTTTCCAAGAGAGCATCCTGACCATTAGGAGGTGACTTTTTACCTATTATCAGCTCATATTACCTGATGTCTATGATCCTCGAATCCAACAACATTGCTCTTGTTAAAAATCACATCTTTCCCCACTGCACAAGCCAAGATTTGTAACAAAGTCATTCTGTTAATAAGTCTTGTGAGTGGAGGTCCCCTTTGTACTGCAGGGGTGAATATATCCATCTTGACGTACCTGTTAATTATAAGATAAGCAAGATTCTATTGATTCAAAACTGCTCAAAAATAAATAAAATCATAGTCACTCAAAGTTCTGTTAACATTAGGGATTTCTTACTTCAACGTTCAATGCTGTAGATTAGTATAACTCAATGTTTTGAAAACCGACCTAGAGGTCAAACCGTTTTGACCTCCGGTTCTCGGTTTGACATGTTTAACCAGTTTAATTGTTCAAACCGCCAGTTTAACTATATATGAATAAATATAATATGTTGTAATGATTTAACAAGACAAGTGTGGTGGCCGGATTGGTTTGTCACTTTGCCATCACAATGGAAACACGTGTTCGAGCATGGTGGGGGTTAAAATGTTATTACCACATTTCTAAAACTTTCAAAGTAATGTAATTTTTTAATTAATTTATATAAAAAAATTATAAAGATTAATTTTAAATTAAT